GTGGTGTGTCTGGGGGCAGACAGGGTCCAGGGTTATGGGAGGTGGTGTGTCTGGGGGCAGACAGGGTTCAGGGTTATAGGAGGTGGTGTGTCTGGGGGCAGACAGGGTTCAGGGTTGTGGGAGGTGGTGTGTCTGGGGGCAGACAGGGTTCAGGGTTGTGGGAGGTGGTGTGTCTAGGGGCAGACAGGGTTCAGGGTTATAGGAGGTGTTGTGTGGCTCAGCGGGAAGATTGAATGGTTGCCAGTTCAAATCCCAAGGCCGGCAGACTGATACCACTGATACCTTGAGCACGACCCTTAACCCCCAGCTCCAGGGGTGTCCAGGGGCGCTGAATATTGGCTGACCGTGCACTGTGATCGCAAGCTTGCTCTCACCTGTATATGTCGGTGTGTCTCATGGAGAGCAGGATGGGATAGGTGAAAAGAGTTTCCCAATAGAGATCGATAAGGCATCACTATTCCATTCTACATTCTATCCATGCACCTGACTTTCCTTACGTCATGCTGTGAAACACCGTCCTCTTCCTGTGTGTGTGACTGGGTTACTGTACTACTGTGCAATACCTTGAGGTTCACAGCTGTCTGCCCTAGCAGTGTTCTGGATATTTTTCTGGATTTGACATTATACTCCTACTATGGAATCTCTCTCCTGCAGGTCCAGAGTTCCAGGTTACCTTCTTATCTTGCTCAGGGTGAGCTTGATGTGAGGGAATCTCTCCCTGAAGGTCTCGTTCATGTCCTTCTTGAGGTCTGATGGTTTTACATACTCAATAACTGTGGTCTGAGGAAGGGAAGAGAGCACAGTGAAGATAAGCACTGATGCTTCCAACACAAGGAGTATGGTAGGAAAAGTAAAATCACACCAATTGTAACTTTAAAAGGTTTCTTTCTTTCATTATGCACTCCAGGAGTTCAAATATACATAGCCATACGTAAAATGAACAAGCATCTTTTCTCTTTAGTGTGCCGTGATGGGGCCTCTAGACCTTTGGTCAAAGTGCGATATCTGAGGACCTGGTGGGGTGGTTTTGACCAGGCCCAGTACCTGGGGCCCTCACCATATAGGAGGCGAAGATGAGCACACGCTTGTGCTTCCCACAGGGCCACCGAGGGTCGCTCAGCAGGTTGGGGTCATACTCGGTCAGGTCATCGGCACCTAGGGAGAGGTGGGAACCGGTCTGATCAGCCACTGGCCCATAGTACATTCTGTTTAGTGGCGGCAGACCCGCCCAGGAATTTAGATCTTACACGGCTAATAAAGATTGCACACAAACAAAACCAACCACGCTAGCTCATATTCTCAGTATAAGCCGTCATCTATGGAAAAAGCCCAATTTCCTTTTCCACTAACTGACATATCCAATCAGCTCACTCTAAAGTCCACACCCCAGAGTCTAAACACCAATCCTTATGAACCTCTCCATTGTTGCAAACAGGAAGTTAACATCTGTTGCTGGCTGGCTCTATGCACGTCCTTATCAGACCCTCACATTTTGCACAGTCTTGGTGTTTAGCAGATGGTTCATCTGATCATGTTGCTGTAGAAACAACTGTTTGCTTTGCAAAGTTTAGACACAGTAACATATGTGAACTATAAAGTATTCTAACCCACTCCAAAGACGAGCATTAACCCAGGTTCTAATGGCCCGCACATCGCTAAGGTAACCAGGTACCACCCACCTACGTCCTGGGTCATGGCACAGGAGAACCTGGCGGGGGTGTGGCTTCTCTGGGTACGGGCAGTGTCCCCGGGGGTGCTCTTGCACCTCATCAGGGCATTGGTGGGGAGAAGGAACTGAGCGTATGACACCGTCTGGGGTGATGAGAAGGATGGAAGTTACACAGATGTACCAAACACATGATAACTGCCAGACAGCCCCTTTAACGACAATCACACAGCTTTATGTTAGGGGAGCTGCACGTGTATCCGTGACAGAGACACATGCACACATTTTATTTCATTTCATCCATCCATCAGGTTTGGCAGGGATGTTGAAATCTACCCGAGGCAGCAGAGGGTGTAATGCTGGGGTGCATCTTGGCAGGGAAGCCAGTCACTCAAATTTCAAAATTAGCATGAAATACTTAATCATAAATGCTGAGCGCTAACAGCCTTTATCGAGCCACTGCAAAGCTTCAAGGACCTTGCGGCTTTAGACCTTGGTGAATCATAAGCAGCAAGCATGAGAAGGGATTATCTAAATACAAGGTCATCAGCAGATGGCAGACATCTGTGCGACACAGTACTGGATCATCTACCAAGCAGTCTCCAACACCATTCCAACAAGACATCTCTCCCCGCTGTCCAAAAAGTCCCACCTCTTCTGCACCTCCTGCCCGCCCTCATCCACCCACCTTTCCATAGGCACCCAGCTCTACGCCCTCGAGCGTGGGCACTACATCCAGGCTTGTGGTGGCCCCTCCTGAAGAGTGGCGCTGTCGGTCTGCCTCCAGCTTCAGATTGCTAAGCAGGGAGAAGGCCGGGCATAGTCACAGTCATCACCGATGAGTACTGACAGTCAATGACAGCTCTCAGAGTCATGCACCCTGAGTAATGTGACGGTTTTTAAATGGACAATGAGTAAACAGAGTAATGTAACAAATGTAACCCACCCATTTGTTTATTGCCGATTTGGTGTCTTGCCACCATTTACAAAACTCTGCCGTCAAGTTTCAGCATGTCGCAAAAACATGCTCCGCAGGTTGGAATGCGGGATGGATTCCAGAATCTTCTGGAATCATTGCCCAGCACTGCAGTCACCCTTAAGGTATACATTACTCCATTGTTTGTAAAATCCTACTTTAGCTTTGCTTGTCTTTTGGCCAAAAAAATTTCAAATGAAATAAAACCCGCGCCAGCAAATGTGACAAAACAGAGCACACCGTAGGCAGGAATGCGGAAAGGCACAGAGAATGTCAGGACTGCCTGGCCCTCACAGTTCTATATGGATTTACAAAATCTGTGTCTCAAAATGATCAAAGACGACAATCTGAAAATCTCTCAGAACCAGTAGAGCAGTAGGCTAGCATAAACAATGTCATTATTCTGTTCCAGAATCAATGAGGTGTATCGGGATATTGAATACTTACAATGCAAATTCCAGTTCCAGATTTTACCAGCAAAAAAACAGAGCAAACTGCACACTCAGTACAGGGCTGAAACTAGTAAGGTCATAGTATCCCCTGATTTTAGGGGAGAGACATAAACATGACCCTTTGGAGCAGGGGTGTCAAACTCCAGTCCTGGGGGGCCGGAGCCCTGCACAGTTTTGGGTTTACCTACATTTAACACACCTGATTCAGCTCCTTGTGCTAATTACCACACAGCTCTTGAGCTGCATTTGTGGGGGAACAGGGAAAGAACTAAGCTACACAGGGCTCCGGCCCCCCAGGACTGGAGTTTCACACCCCTGCTCTGGAGCATCACAGGACAGGTTTGGAGAGGACCTATTATTCAAATCATGGTCATCGAGGTCCGAGCACTGCTGGTTTTCCAGCTTTTCTTTACCTGTGAGCCAGGTGTGAAGCCTCTGACCAATCAGAATCAGTAATTATTAAACTAACTACCTGGGAGAACTGAAAACAAGGCCTGGATTTGGAATCGAGGTCCAGATTTGAAGAACCCTGGTGTAAGGTGTAGTATGTTGTCATTCCAGCCAGACACCCTTGAGACTACTTTCCCCACACATTTCCAGCAAGCCAAATGACGCACTATACATTTAGCAGATGCCATTTCCCCAAGACACTTCGGGATAAATGGGTTGAGATTAACTGGAGCTATTTAGGTTAAGTACCATTCGCAAGGTTGCTAGAGCAGAGATTCTCCTGGGATGTCAAACAACAACCTCTGGAGTCAGAGCACTTCCTTGAAAACAGCATCCTAACCTCTCATGATGCCAAGCTTCCTAATAACACACACACACAATATGTCCATTTTGTTGACTCTTTATCTAGGGAAAATAGTGTTAGACATAACATTTTTCAGCAAAATGTCAACCCGTGTGATCACCAGAAAACATTTTTGAAAATTTTATTTTTGCTTTCCCAGTTAACTCATATCCCAGTACGTGGAATTTGAAAGATTCCTACGCAGTCACATTAGCGATTAGCTCTCACCAACATCTCTCTGCTTCCTAAACTTCACCATTTCTCATGAAGCCTTGGTGCCATGTATATGCCAGGCAAATGGCAGCCCGGGTGATGGGAAGATGCGGAGAGAAGCGTGGATAAAACAGCAACACTCTTTATACCCATATACCAGAAAACGAAAGAGCAGAATGCTCTGCCACTTAAATAAGGATCTGCCATCAAAAGCATAAGTCACAAGTAAATGTTAACCTCTAGACGCGGGGGTTGCCGTACCTGAGATTGTTGCTTTGCCCGTATGGGACGACGGAGAGGGCAGCACACAGGGAGCGCTTGGCACAGATCAGCACAACCCTGTGACACACAGACACATTTCACTCCTATTGATGCAATTATGCACAAGATTAGCCACGAACCGCGAAGAAGTCAGGTGCACGTTGCGCATTCATCTAGCTGAAAGACACAAGTGAAGAAGGACACACAAAAGCAAGAAACATGCATACATTCAAATATACAGAGACTCAGGAGCCACATGTAGGGAAAAGGTGCACACACAGATGCCACGGCAACATACAGCCAAACAATTAGCAGTGGTGAAGCAGTGCTACAGTAACGAGTCAGATACTCGCAAATCCATGGTCAATATTGAAAGCAGGCGTTTCATACAGATATAATCACACATGCGCCTGATGGGCAGTGAGCAAAGACCATTCCCTGCCTGTCTATTTGCATTCACTACATTATTTTATTACCCACACATGAACACAGCTCACTGATCCCACGCTTACCTGCTCACGTACTCAGATCAGACAATTTCTGTACAAGCAAACTGTGTACTGTGTGGTCTACAAGCCTTAAAAGAAAAGTACCCACGATGTCCTTCGCCAGGGCTCACGGAAGCTAAGTTGAATTCCTGGTGCTTTTTTCAGGACAGAAATCTACGCTATTTCCACATGGACATATCCATCACCTGCGATGGAACATTGGTGGTAGGGAGTGGGGGGACAGGCATAGCGGGGAAATTCTATTTCTGGTTTTCCTATGGAGGTGAAATCACTCCGCCAGATGACAACACGACAGTTCCTGCACTTGTGCTTGAGAGTGAAGCTTTTAACAGCAGCCCAGTGAATGGATAAATAAAGGAATAAAGGTCAAGGAAAAGGAACCATAAATACATGAAACTGAACTGCTTGTTTAAAATAAGTAACAACGGAAATGGGTGAATGGGCAAAAGGACAATCGGGGTGACGTAACTCTAGCTTCAAGAACGCTAATGGAAACAAAAGCATTGTGGTTTGTGTAGTAATCTTAGGGAAGATCTGTCACTTTTTTTGCGGTGGGATTTTATTGGCCACCCCTCACCTGCTGCCCCCAATGTCATACTGCCGCATGCTCTTGATGAAGTGGATCTTATTCGCTGGCCTTGGTCCTGGGGAGCCAGATGGATTTCGGAGCCTGTGTCGGGGAAAGTGATCAGCCAATCAGCAAAGACACAGTCAAATGTAAACCTCAAGAGCCACCACATAATATATAGATGTTTTACAAAAGGGGGCTGTAAACTGTATACAGGTGACTAAGGGGATCTATGCAAGCTACCACGTCCTTCCTTCAGTACGATGAAATGTGGGACATTACTACAATACAAAAGTGTTACAGGGTACAATGCATGCTGGGTTTTATTGCATTTAATGGGCCCAGCTGGCAGCTAATTATCAGTTCTAAATTTATACCTACGCATTTCCCCTAAAATACCGCAGTAACATCCGGTATGATAGAACTTTACATACAAGGTAGGAAAGGAAGATGTAATTTACCATTAGATGTAATTTACCATTTAGAAATGAGATGTTACAAAGCCTCACCGAGAAAGCTTAATTACAACCTGTTGTAGCAGAAGCCTATGCACTGATTTGCATCCAGGAACTGATTCCGACAGCCTGCAATAAGCTGCTGCCATTGCTGGCCGGCTCAAAGGTTACAATAGTAGAATCACTATTATTCTTATCTTGGATTATATGGCCACATGTTTGTTTCTCTTAAGGCTATTCCTCATATTCCGTTCTTCGTACCTCAGGTCTGAGTGACCCAGGATACAAAAAAGCAGGACAGCATCATGCAGCCCCTGATGTTCAGAGGAGCTTAGACCAGGGTGGACTGAAAAGCCACACCCACAAAGATGGCTGAAAAGCCACACCCACAAAGATGGCTGATCTGTAGTCCACCCTTTGGTGACTTTGCTGGTCTGTAGTCTTATTGTCCATTAATAAACCTATAATGCAGCTAACATACTTCTGATCGTCATTGACATTTTATGGATAAATATTATTCACCATGACCATGAAACACATACAAGTCGAATTAACTTTTCGAGGAAGGTTTAAACACACTCTACTCTTGTTGATTAATGAAGTGAAGAACAGCTGCAGAGCAGGATCTCAGCGTATTGCTCTTGCCCACAAACCTCAACACAAACACTTTCCTTGGCTTTCAGCAAAGCCTGAATACACGATGGCTGCTAGTTCAAGTAGCTAGACCTCAGTAACTTTTGTTGGTTTCCTTGAGAGGATTAGGGCAGCATAATAAAAATTAAATATATAAAAAACCTTCATTTCGATAAAATCATTTATGATATATACACAAATGTGTCCCTTTCTGCACTACACAAAAGGCGACAATCCCCGCACTGTATTGCAGTGCTCAATTGATTAGCTTACTCTTTTATCCAACGAAACCCTAATGTCCCACAAGTAAAAAGTATAGGCACCATTCCTTGAACTAAAAATCATTATTCATGCACATACTTAAAAGGAATGTAAGAGTGTGAGATACTCTGAAGGGGGAAATACAGTAAATAAATCTGTCATCTAACTCGCCACAGTGAATTATGGAGACTTGGCGCTCGTAGAGGGACTTTTCAACAGGTTCAAAACTGGAATTTTTATTAGAGAGCCAAGCGGATATCGCAAGTTAAGGCTGACTGGCGACGTACTGGCTTAAGTGTGAATGTAGTACCGTAACTATGCCTAGAATAAAGCGGCCCAATGACAAGCAGAAGGGCTGGTCCGATGGGCTCGCGTTTCCCGGCTGCTGTCCGGAAAGGCACGCAGGTCTGAGCATCTCGCCAAGGCTGTATCACTTTCCAGTCCAACCCGGAATTAGCAAGCGGAAGGTGCGTCCGCTTAATTTTAGAAAAATACTTCACTGCTCTGCGGTGCGTTTCATTACATTACCATACTATTTTGGCATCGGAAGAGGTAAACACACCACTCCAGGTTAAAACGCTGCCAAGGTGTTCACTCAAAATACTCAAGCAACGCCTTAGCTCCAGCTATAGCCAGTGACATGATTGCTTTGTTAAACAAAGCAGATCGTTGTTCGGTTTGGCGATCAAAATAAAATAGAGCTTAATAACCTTGTTTTCTAAAAATCACAACAGTATCGGTCGTACCATCCAGGTCATTGTGGCAGACACCCTGGTTTTACACTAGCTGCCCACTGTAAACACTTTGACAGGTGTAGCGAATCGCGAACGGGATCTTTTTCTGCGCTTGTAGTCCTGAAGTCGAATGGAGGATTAACATTGTGTTATTATTCGTAAACGCAGCATTGGACTTACTTTTGCCGCGTATCCAGCGACGAGATACTGTCACTTGGAGCCGTCAGCGCGGCCGGCAACTTATTGGTTGTTAGATGGGGATTCGATTGTATCCCAGACAGTGAAAGGACCGTCCCTTGTGAGGAGCCCGGGGCGAGTCTTCCCCCTTCCAGGAGCGCATCGCTGCTCCCCGCAGTACTGAAGCCTGCCACGGCAGAGGGAACATAACTAGGCGCCTGGTTGACGACCACGATCCTCGTCCCGGGAGTGGCGGCTCCGCCGCTCACGGAGGGTGACAGGTCGCTGAAGGCTGCACAGCTACTCGTTGCAGATCGCGGCAGACCGGCCACCATTGCCGGGGCGTCCAGAGCTCGGAACTCGGGTTCACTTTGACTGGGGTTCCCGTTACCCAAACCGTAAATGGGGCGTCCATCTAAAGATATGTTTTTAAGAAACAGCAAGGCTGCCTGGCGCCGCCGTGAGTCCTTACTTTTCCTTATGCGTTCTTTATTGGCTTTGCCCGTATTGTTGCCTATCATACTGCGTGAAGCACAAGCGGCAGGCGCCGCCATTCTTGAACTGAAAGTGAAGTGCATGCAAACGGAAAGCATTTTACCGGCTCGAGGGCTTCGCCCCGCCCACTACCGTCCTATTGGTTGACTGCAATAGATTATACAAAACTCTCAATTTTCGGTGATTCTATTGGCCACGGATTGGTTTTGTTAAATTGAACGTAACTTATTTAATAAGAAAATTGATCTATACCCTGTTAATATTTAACGTGACGACTATAGTTATGCGCATCACTGTCAGTATAGGATAATTGTTTTTGTTTACAACAACAGCTAGAATTTCATGCTATCTTGTGTGTTTCCAAGGGTACACACAAATAAACAAACTGGCATCGCTACCAGAGACGACTATATAATAACGGACAATCACGTCAATGGCATCGAATGTAATACCTATACTTGACAAGGTGGTAGGAACACAAACTTGTCACTAAAGTCTGTGGGGATCAAGTTTCAGCTTTTAGCGTAATACGTTCTTTGTCGAAACTGTAGAAATTGTTTCTGAACCTTGTGTTCTTTGTGCTGATTGTATGCCAGAATTCGGCCACAGCGTATATGCTGTTGCCTGCTCTTCTGAGATAGTGTGCAGTGTAAATTAAGGCAGATGTGTCCTGGTGACGGCCTAAGCAGTCTTCACCTCCCTCTATACTGTGTTCTGCTGTTCCATGTTGAATATCTATTATGTCATAATGTAATGCATCCAGTCACAATGGGCTCCGTCGTGCATTTGTAGAACTGAGTACTGCTACCAGCTTCTGAGGTCTCCGAGGAAATAAATACTTCGATGCACCTTCTTTATTGCTGCAGTTGTGTGTTAATGTATCAGTGTATGTTTGGCTGCAATATCGCTGTATCCAAATGTGTCAATATCAATCCTATTGACATATTTGGATAGAGTCTTAGATATTTGCCATCATTGTCCTGGCTACAGAATTGATGTTTTTGGAGTGCATAAGGAAAGTCATAAGAATATGTAATACTCAGACCCACAACTGGAGCAGGGAGGCTACAATAATAATCACTGAGCTACAATGCCGCACAGGCACATGTAGAACAATATATTTTGAGCTGTACAAAAGGGTACTCCATCATAATTTTCATTTAAATTTTCAAAGAAAGCAGGGAACATGAGCAGAGAAACCACAATTCAGCTGGGATTGATAACATTTTTCAAATTTTCCAAGGGCGTGTCGTGTAACCCTAACGACACTTTTCCCTCCCACCAAGAACCTCGCAGTACCCGAACTGTACCGCGAAGAGACACTATAGTTACGGTGCCGTTCCACCTCGCTTTGCTTTTCCACTTCAGGAGGGTTGGCTGGGTAAAGGCGTTGCTGGGTTTGGAGAGCGACAGCGACGCGAAACCGAAGAGATGCTTATTTACTGTTCACACGGTGTATATCATGATTTACTATGTGCTAATTTCTGCTAGCACATCTGTGAGAATCGCCGTTTTATTTTAACAACAAATGCTGGGGCTGGGAATCAGCTAGGAATAGACAGTCAACTTCAAAGCTTTGAGATGGACTCGAGTTCAGTAATATTTCTGTGGACTCCAACAGAAGCTGCGGCGAATGCTTATCGTCAGTCACTGCCTTGTTTGGTCGCTATGGTATTGTCACGTTGACACCCTCCCTGGGTCAGATTTTTTGCATCCAGTCAGAGTAATCTGTTCGTTGTGTACCTCAATTTATGACAAAAGTACAAATAAATGAAAAACTGATTATGTGATTAGAATAGAGGTGTCAGAAGTGAGTTAATTTAGAAATTGCACCATCAACACAACATTCGCAATAGTTTGGCGAAGTTTTACTTTATACACGGCGCAAAATAAAGTGAAGTGCAGTATTTGTAACAAAATATTGTTTTTTTAATAAAACTTTGTCTTTGATATAACATTTGAAGACCACTCATCCAAAGGAGCAGATGGAGGAAACTCAAGCACAGGTTTAGCACTGATTAATCAGCTAAATCAGTCAGCTCCCCAAGTTTTTGCATGACCCTAAATAAGCTTGACGTTTTCTATGAATATTTCAATTAAATTAACATTAAATAAATTAATTTTGAGAGCTAGTTGGAGCCTGTTTCACAAAGCAAGGTTTCTTGGTTATCTGGATAACTTGTTGGATTTAAGGTGGTCTGGGCTGAAGTGAACAAAGATCCAGTTATCCAGCTAAGCAAGAAATGCAGTTTTGTGAAACGTGCCCCTGAGATATCATGTTAGTACTGATGGTCATTTTCTTTCAAACTTGGATTAGAACATAGAGGATTTTTTGTGTGTGTGTGAGAGAGAGAAAACTTATATTTAACTATGTCACTGAATTTTATCAGTAATATTTGCATTTTGGTAGATTATGTTTTAATAAATTCGTGGGGTCTTCTGGGAGTTGGGCAATAGAACAGAGAACAAGTGTACACATTGTAATATAGGCCTACCAGTGAGAAAAAAACCCTATTAAGGAAACAGGCGCCATGTCATTTTAGTATGAACTGTGTAAGCGACATAAATGATGAGGAATATTGTTATGTATCTAATTTTACAAATTATACTTACCAGAAAAAGATTGCATAAATAATTTTTTAAAAAAAATCAAGATTTCAAAATATCAAAATCCATTGTCATTCATACTACACTGTCATATTCAGGGACGGATTATGGGTTGTGTGGGCCCCTGGGCAAAACCACAATTCAAGGGCCCTTGGCAGCCAAACGCCCTCCCTCCATGTTTCCATCAGAGGCCCTATAGGGTCAGGGGCCCTTGTAGGCAGAGGATCAAAGAATGTAGGCCCTCTAAAATAGACAAACGAAAATACATTGTTGATAAGCGTTGCAAATTGTTTTGGGCTAGGGGCCCCACGGGCCCCCTGCACCCCAAGGGCCCCTGGGCAGCGGCCCCGCTGGCCCGGTCCGTAATCCGTCCCTGGTCATATTCTTTTTACAGGATCTTTTTGCTCTCATATTTTTAAGTCTTTGGAATTGACTCTATCAATTCCCTACTTTTGGATTCGAAATCAGGGTTGACTTAATTTTTTTTGGAATTAACCAGCCCTACCAATCGCTAGCTAGGATTACAGTTAGAAAGGTTATGACTTTAACAAACACTCAAAGGTGTTTTATGAGAGTTCTAGGCCCCCGTATCTAGGGAAACCACAGTTTAGCTGGGTTTGATAGACTTTTTCAAACTTTACAAGGGACCGTGTAACCCTAAGTCCCCAAATTAGGGTTTGTCAACAAAAACTTGGGCTGGGCTTAGAAATGCTATGATTTTTATAGATGTCTAATGGTGGTTGTATGATAATTCTGGACCCTTTTAGTCATTTTATCCTTTTCTGAGGACTTTTGGTCTTCATCTAGAACAACTAGCTGGAAGAATTCTCAGTGGGGAATGGGGCTGTCAAATTCCCATGGTGCGAAGGGTAACAAACATGTAATCAGAGTTTGTGTCAGGTGATGCACTGTTGCTGTTTGAGATACTCTGTAGTCATTCAAGACAGACACAATGAAACTGCTTTGCTTTGTCGGTTAAAATGGCGCTTTACCCATGTGCAGAAACTATTTTATTAAGTAGTTCTTAATTCTGTTGCCTCACAGTTCTGGGACAAGGGTTTGTGTCTCCGCTCCAGCTCTACCTATGTGGAGTTGCATGCCCTCCCCGTATCTTCATGGGGTTTCCTCTGGCTTCTGGGGTTTCCCCCCAAAGTGCAAAAGACATTGTAGGTTAATTGTAATTGTTGAATTTCCCGTGTGTGCATCCTACGATCCATTGGTGCCCCATCTTGGGTTATTCCCTGCTTTGTGCCAATGGCTTCTAGGATAGGCTCTGGACCCTTGTGACCTTGAACAGGACAAGCATGTATAGAGAATTAATGGCTGAATAATCCTTAATTCATATTATCAAAGCCAACTTGCCCAGTGAACAGTTTTCTGTTCTGTTTCTGTTAACATGCTATTTACTTAGGGATGATTTACACAAATACGTTCCTCAAGCTCAGTGGCAGGATTCCCCACAAAGTATTATGATGACGAAGGCAGCATGTTGGTGCTACCTGCTGCATGAAAATGGAGGGGGGGGGCATGGTGTTAATTGAAAGCCCTCACGTCGACATAAACAGGAATTTTACAAAGAAATGATTTTGAACGAACCTGACATTAAAACTCCCCATATAACTCAATGACTCAGTCACACAAACATAACATCATCGTGTGTTAATAATTCACATATGTGCATCTGTTTCTCTAAAGGGGCGTCCCCAGCTGATTACATTATATGCCAAAACAATATGCTCTGATACTATCTGATGTAACCTTGAAAGGATTAGCTACAACTAATATTATAACCTTATAAAAAGTACAGAACCTTAATAAGATGAGAGGTTATTGTATCATCCTAGCGCGAATAGTTTTTGTGAATTCATGTCAAGGGGTTCGTACATCATCTACAGTATACACTATGTCCCCCCCGCAAACAAGATTTATGATGAGTCAAGATTCAGGTACAATTCACCGAATTGGAATCTCCAAAACCAAATCTCTCTGCTGCCTCGGAGTTTTAAAGTAATGAAGGTAACTCCAATTAGCCTCAGCCTGTTTTTGGACTGTGGGGGG